GAGTAATTTTTAGAAATTCTGTTATCCTTGTCGGTTCGGCAAAAGTAGACGAACTAAATGCTAAATAATCTTTGTTGGCGGAAAGACATGACTGATTACAATCAGACTCAACTTTTTCTTCTGATTTTTTAGACTCAACTGCAGGCTAAGTGTAGATATCAGTTCATAACTTTACATCCTTTCAGCGATTTTGAAGCTTCACCTCGTGGTACTTCAAAGTGTAACAACTCCCTACTCCGGTCACTTTTACAAAGACACACCCTCGCTATCTTCCCCTGCTGTCGTGGATTCCAGTTCTTATTGGGAGACACGCATCAATCGCGCACTAGGAGAGCTCTGTCATGCATCTACGGGCTACCAACGCGTCGCCTCGATTCGACGTCTTCCCACTCTCTCAAACTCCGATTACAACGGACGTGCACTAACCTTTGAGGTCATACTCTACTCCACTGGTCACGGCAAGACTTTGGCTAATCTAGAGGAGCTCATCAAACATCGCCTTGATGAAGCTTATTTGTCGGGACTCGGACCACTTGACCCTGAGGTTAGCTACGTTCAGCGCTTGGAGGAGAGCATGCCCGGTGGGTGGTCAGTCAACCTAGTTTTTCCTAGTAAAAGTTGTATTTCCACTCTACTGTCAGTAGTCTGTTTGGCACAGTTCTAGCCTTGGTTAGAGACAATTTGTGACTGTTATACCTCTCTTAGACCTAATAGCGAAGTCCTTACTGACTTAAGGCTTTCCTGGTACTAGCATTTAAAGTTTAATTCTACACTAAAACCGGTATTACTACAAACAATGTTGACGTAATTGGAATGATGAACTCACAATTTTCATTTTAATGCATTCAAATTCTAATCAGATACTTTTGCATGGTGGGTGGTCGTCGTTGTAACTTAGGATATGCTTGAGTGATTAGATATTACACCGGCTAAATTTTTTAAAGCTCTGTTGATAATCACGTCTAGTGAATGATTTTTGAATAAACAATGACACAAGTCTATCATCCGGATAAAAGTAGAGCTGTGCGGTTCTCCCCTTCGAATGTTTAAAAGATTATAGCATCACGAAAAAAATGTATCTAGTGCTTGCCTACATCATAACTGAAGTTGGATGCTTTCAATTATTTGGATCTGTTTTACTTGAAAGTTCTTCCATAGAGCATTGCTTTCTTTTCGTCGTCTTGCTTCATCATCACTGGCAGTGGTGCATGCGTCGTAATTAGGTCAAAATTGCTTAGTTTCAGACATAGTCTTCACTTTTTGGTAAGCAAAAACTAAACGTTGGTTCCTCTTCGAAGTTCCAAGTTTGCATTTAATTGCTGAATGTCACTGGTGATAACGGTTCTAGTTTTCGCCTTACATGACTGTAGACACTGCAAACATTACCCGTAATTACAACTAAGGCGGCAGTTGTAATTTTACAACTCACTGACTCGCATCATCCCTGATTTTGCTACACAAACTTACTAGTTTGAATCCTAGGCGGCAATAATATGTCAATCATTTTGGAAACCTTTAATTTTTCATCAATTTGCTTGTTGAGCGTTGTAGAAGCCTAACTTGGCTTTCAAAGGGAATGGAGTCACGATTCGATAAACGAGCTCTTGAAATTATGACACTATATATGTCTTGACGCATCTTTTTTTAACTGAAGTGTTGGTTAAAGCAAGATATACTGAAAAGGAATCGAAAAGTCTTGCAAAATGCTATTCTTAGCTCAATACTACTTCCCACTTCATGGTCTTCCCTAATGTGCTAATCCAGAATGCAACATATGCTGCTGGTAGTCCAGATTCGGAATCCTTATGTTTTCCTTTCCTAAAAGTTTAGTCGACCTTTTGTTGTTATGTAGTAATGTTGACAAAAGGGCGAAAAAATCTACCTGATGCCAATCCAATGCTAAAGTACATTCGTATAGGATTATTTTTCCAAGGGCCATTGCCGTCTCGTCACGCAGCGAGTCAGAAATGTTCGAAGATAAACTCGTTTTAAAGCTGAAACATCGACTAGGCAATCTTAACTAAGGTGGGATTTCGGTTGACGTGTGACAAGACTGAAGGATGGGCTCAGATGCGTGCTATTTAAAACGTCACTAACCCGGGAATTTTTAGTTTTAACTGTACAGTGACTTACTGGATTTATTATAATGCAGAAAAATGAAATGCTGATTAAATATCTTTTTTATGCTCGGCCTTAAAAGACTATTAGCAATATTGTTTGACGCATATGACATTTATGCTTGTCGAAGATGACAGCTTTCCATCCATTCACCTGCATTATTTTTTATTTCCTTAGCTGATTTAGTTATTGCATCAATAAAGGGGAAAAGAAACACTTTATCAATTGTATAGAACTTTATGCCCTGCCCTCGTTTAAAACGATTTGAACCGTTTTTTGTGTATGTACAGTTATGTGTGGCATGGGCTTTACCTTTCAAAAATGAAGGCAATCTCACTCCATAGTCACATGTGAAAGCCGACCCAATTTCGTTCTCTCTCAGTAGTGATAAAACGTAAGACCAGTTATTTAAAAGCATAGCACACATATTAGACCTCGTCATTCAAATTCCCGCAAACCTTTTCAGACGCGCTTATTAAAGCTTGTGTGACCTGATTCCCCGAGCAAATTTGCGTGGCTGTGTGAAAGGAGTCGTTAGTCGCGCCTAATTTTTATGCACCACAAATCTGGCATTTGGCCACAAGCAATTGAATTAACTGAACAACGAACCCCCTCGGATTTCTGTTGGCGCAGTAATCCTAACACCGTCTTTGGCTTGAATGCGTGTTTAGACTCTAGAGAGAGTAGCCCTGCTTTTGACAAGAAAGTTTCAACTTGTTTTAGTCATGGAGAATTAGGCTTCGTGTAGTGAAGTAAAAGGTTAAATGGTTGTCTGTTGGTGATTAACTGAGCAAAATGTGGGGCGACTTTTGGTGTAAGAAGCCAGTTCTTATTATCCGAACAAAGTTTCGGTGAATTAAGTGGATTGTTATTCAAAGAAAGGCGCATACAGGGATTTTAATTGTTATGCTGTTATTCAGTTCTTTCTAACAGTATTATTTTTATGCTACACATACTCACTATAGAAAAAATTGGCCAGTTTCAAAATTATTGAAAGACGAGGTTAATATTTATGTATGAGTGCTTGCCAAAATAGCACTATTAAAGTCGAAGTGGAAGGTATGAAATTATTCTCGAACAAAAAACCTGGACACCGTTAAATACAGACATTAAGAAACCACAAGCGGTTTCGAGGTTGCACTCTAATTCAGATGTTAGACTAACTACTTTAAGCTTTACTGTGATAGGTAAGGTTTGGGGTCTTCGAATCGTACAAACGTTTTGCCGATCGCTCAAATGCAGTCAGGTTGCACCCCACAGTCTGCTTTTGAGCGTTTACATTCTGATTTATTCTGTGGTACCTCTACATGATCAAACTTTTTAATCTAAAAAACCCCAAATAATGTAGTTTAAATGGGTTGCTTTGAGGGTAGGCGATTCACGAGATCGTATTTCCATCGGATCTGATTGGTATTTTTTACTTTAGTCAAGCGAAAAGTCAATGGATGGTTGCACTTCATGAGGTGCATTGAATTTTGTCGTATTTTATCTTCTTACTCTTATTTTACTGCTTAATGCTAAGTCTTATGAGGCTAATTTTTGTATCACAGAGACTGGTCTGTAATCGCTTTATGTCATTTGTTTCGTCTTAGATCCTGAACCGGATTTCAAGCAACATCAGGACGTCTACTACAATGAGAAGGAGGTATGCATAGTGCCTTTATTCGCACTAAATTGGTTGTCTTTGATGGACCCGCGCATTCATCAATTTAGTATTAAAATTTTTTCTCACAAAATTTTTTCACCTGATGCATTTTTTTGCACTTAGATCAAAGAAGAATACAAAGACGATGAAATTGTGGATGTGGCAGGTATACTCCATTCCTCTTAATTTGTGCAGGTGTTTTTTTTTAAATAGACAAAGTCAATCCATATAAGTGGCTGCAACTTTGCCTCTATAAATTGGCTCAAATTCTCTGCTTCATTTTACTGCGCCACGAAAAAAGGCCATTGAAGGCATATCTGATTGTTTGCTTGAAAAGTTGAATGGTAAAGTTGGACTGCTCTTTGAATTTTAGAGACGGTAAAGGATCCGCCGCAACAGGATTATCCTGGCAGCAACCGCCGATGTCCCATCACAGTTCGGCAAACTGCTCATGAACTCGCTGTGCAAAATAGTTGGAGACATCGAGAAATTCTCAATCAGCCTGGTGTAATCGCTGGTAAGGCCAATGTTGAATGGGGTTGTTTGGATAGAACAAGTTTTTGAATTTCTCGAGGATAAAATATTCAGAAATGAAAGAATAAAAAACCAGAAGTGTAAACCAGGCTGAATATTAGGAAATAATTCGATAATCGAGGTTATAAGTGTAGTGGATTAGGTAAACTACAGGTAAGGAGTTGGGAACCTAGAAACTCCAACAGTACCGAAGTTAT